AAACTATCGATCAGAAAATAATTGATCGTCCAAATTGACATTTTCTATTACGAATATTTTTATCTAAATATTCTCTCTATACTAAATCAAATCATGTCTTAAAAATTAATGTATGGAAATCAAAAATTTGGCTTTATCATCATTAAATATAAAAAAACCTAGTTTTTTGGATGAAAAAAAAAAAACAAAAATTCGAAAAGGTGTTTTGATCGAATAAAAAACAAAATTTGCTTCTTATACATTTTTTAATACGATTTTCAGTTTTCAGAAATAAGTAAGTTTTTTTAGAGAGTATAAGAAAATATTTCTTAACTAATTTTTCACACTTAATCACTATGCTTATTCTATTTCTTTTGTGCATTGAGAGACTTAAACTGTCAGTCATAGTGTGATTACGATTTAGAAAATAAACTTACACACATAATTTAACAGCATAAGCCTTAATTAGTCTCATTTCTCGATTTTAGTATAGACGATTGACAGACTACTAAATTCTTCATATAATAAAACAAAAAAAAAAACGAATAAAATGTACCGTTTCTATCTTCTAGAAATTTTTACTAGTGAAAAACGATTTTGAGACTAAAATTGTTATTTCAGACTCTAAAGCCACTGTTATTCTGAATTAGAAACTTAATTTATAAAAATAAAAGATGAATAATTTTGACATGTATCAACAAAATATAATTTCTTACCGATGTAACAGCATTCATGGAACCTTGTACAGTTTTAAATGTATCTTGTAAACGATTATGTACATATTGAATATTCAATGTTTCTGATAGACGTTCTTGAACGTAATGTAAGCGACGATCCATGACACAATCGACGTATGATTATGTTTTTATTTTTTTTAATTAATTGTAAATATAAGTATGTTTAAATATGTGTCGTTGTTTTTTTTTATTATGATACGTCAAATTTAGAGATAAATAGGGTACCCTTCTTTTTTCATAACGACGAAAATTCAAATAAAAAAAAAAAAAAAAGTTCGAAGAAAGAGAAAAAAATCCTTTTAAAGGAGAAAAGAAACTATTTTTAGTAAAAATGAAGAAATCAAGAGGATAAACGTACGATGTGTCAACGGTTACGGAAGAAATAAAATAAGAAGGAAAAAGGAGAGGAACGAGAACAAGAAATGAAAATGCCAAAACTAGCAAACTAAAATTTTACTCATCATTCGTATGCAAATACATCGGCAATTTAATAAAATGATTTTTTTTTCTTGTTATAAGAGCATTAAAAACTTTTATATATTTCCTCTCCAAAAAAAATTGCCAATAAACCAAAAAACAGCCTTCTTTTGATAAAAGAAAAAAAAAAAAAGTTTAAAATGTTTACTTAAGATATACATCATATGGCGCAAAGTATCGTCGTAGACAAGGACAGTAGAAACACATAGATACAGTTCATCGTCTAACGAAACACTATAACATCATCAATACATACATAAGCTCATTCAAAAATCAAAGTACCGTCGATAATCAATAGAATAAGATGAAGAGAAGTTTTATAAGAATTTATTATATACGAACTTAAATATCATCTATTCACTTATTATCGATAAAAAAAAGATGTTAATAATTTTATTATCATTCACACTTTTTCTTTTTATTTTATTTCATCTTTAATATGAGTAAAATTATTTAGAATAAAATCTCTTATACTCTTGTGTGTGCTAGAAATAATGAATGAACCTATATGTATATATATATATGATGGGTAACAGAAAAGGTCTGTTCATGTATGCAACATACATCGTAAAGAATAATATTGATGGAAGTGAAAAATTGGATTTCAAGATGATGGATATGTAACATATTTTTATGTTCTAAATTCTTTATAAAAAAGAAAACTTTATTTACTACTAAAGTGGCCGTTAAATCTTTCACTCTTTTTTTAATCGTCGTAAATCAAGTTCATCATAAAGTTTACAGAAATTTTTTTGAAAAAGTGAAAACTAATGTACTTTAATTCTATATGACGATTAAATCATCATTCATTATTTAAAAACCACTTCATAAAAACTGTTTTTTAAAAAAATCATTTTTTTTTCTTTTTTGAATAGTGGGAATATTATCATTTTTTGAGAAATTTATTTCAAACAAATTTAATAACACCGTTTATATTTGAAAATATATTTTGAATGATACCAATGTTCATCTACCTAATTTAGTTGTATTACGAAGATGAGCACTCATTTTCTTTATATCCTGCATTCAAATGACATTTATTATTGTATAAGCATGATGCGCTTTTACAAACGTTAACCTTTTCGTAAAATTGACAGGTGGTACACATACGCCTTTATAAACACACGTATATAACATGTATCTGTCTGTCATAAAATGATGATTAAGTAATATAAAGTACCCAAATGTTGTTTTTCATCCTTTCGTGCAGTTAACGATTTGTTTTGACTATAAAATTTGATTTAGTATAGAGAGAATATTTAGATAAAAATATTCGTAATAGAAAATGTCAATTTGGACGATCAATTATTTTCTGATCGATAGTTTATTAGTCAAATAGTTCTAAATACTCGTGATTAAAGATATTGTCTATTGATTAACATGACAAAATAACTGCTGAAATCAGCATAGCTAGGCTAGGACTAGGAATAACAATGAAATAGAACGATTTTTCTGACTTATATAAAATGAAACGGTCTGCTCCATTCAATTTCATTTCATAGTTTTACAAATATTTTTTATCTCATTCTCAGTATTTTCTAGCCAACTAAATATTTTTATCGATACACAAATGGATATGGTTCATATTCTATCTCTAGTTCACTGTTGAATACATCAATGTCCATCTTATTCCACGATTTAAACTACAAATCTTCTTATTTCACACACAGAATTCAGCCTCCTTTCACAATCATGACACAGATGAAATAAACTGTTTTTCTCAATAAACGAAGTTTTTTCATACATTAAAATATTTTCATTAGATTTACACTACACTTCATAAATACGAAACATATTTAAAAAGTTGCACTTTTAACAAAAGGAAAGTTCACTTTTTTTAAAAAAATCCCATGCGATGAAGTGATTCGCCCCATTCATTGAATGTGATATTTAGAACATTACACAAACTTATTAACCATAAATTCATAAAGATTGTAAAACAATGTTGCCAACTCATTGTTCATGTGTAAATGAGTATCTCCGATGTGAAATAGGATTAGCTGTTAAGAGATTGTTTTATTTAACAGAAGCAATGATGTTTAAAAAACCTCCAGTTGTAAAAGAATGTTATCTATTCAGTTTTCTAGATTATTGTTCCTTGCTGGAAGATGGACTTAAAATTGAAAATTATCAGTTCTACTAATGAAAGTATGTACGATTCTTAGCATGTAAGACTAAATCATTCTGAAAATATCGGTCGTCTAAGATATTTTCTGGTACTCAAAAAAAATGAATGCATAAAATCATCCTGTAAAAATTCACTAATAATATACACTTAAGCGAATGTATAACTATTTTTACTTTTAATCATATACTGTCTCATCAATAATGATAGCCATAGAAACGTAATGACTTCCGGTTTAAATGAAACTTTTTATTGTACGCAGAAAAACATATTTTACATACTTTTAACATGTCTTCCATTGCTAATGTCATCAGTTCATCCTGATGTGTATTCAAGAGAGCAATTCCAATACGAAATATAATTTCCATACCCTATAACCATAAATATAAGCAATAAAAAAATGATCATACATGAAGACTATATTTAACATTTACTTCACTTAAAAATATGTCCATTATTCTACAAACTAATGCTAATGGTAGTTGAGTAGTGAATAATGTTAAAAACCATGTCGACGAATACATTGATGTATGAAAGCCTTCAGATTGAAAATGACGATGTAATTCAGGTAAAAGTTCCTAAAATTTTATTAAAGAGAGACACACTCAATGAATCTAAAATAGGTAATTTCATTACTTACTTCCACCATACACTCTAATTGATACATACACAATCCAAGATAAAACATATTTGGCTTATAAATTTCACGCATTTTATAATCGTGCATTATTGATACAAATACACAAAATGCATCTTCTTCAGGCATCTAGTGAACAAAAAGCTTAGTGAACATGAAAAGCCCTAAATTCATTTCTTCTGATTTCTGCAGTTTTGAGTTGACAATGAACAATCTAGGGCTTTTCTTGTAAATTGTATAACTTTGGAAAGAAAGATCATGTAGAGTTGGGAGATGTCTCATTTTAATCAGAAATGTGCGGGCTACAAGCATGGCTCATTAAGAAAAGCTTTGGTTGTTTTTCAGAGTTTCTAAAAAACTGATTTTCCAGAAAACCGGATCTTCGAAGCCCTAAGAGCAGCTCTCATATTCACATTCGGAATCAGCATCATCGATAACCTATAACCCACTAGGTTTCGTTGAAAAAGCGAGGGGGCACTTAAGAACGTTCCCTCGTTAGTGAAGCTTCTATTTTACATGATTGTTTTTTTCATAAAATTGGTGAATAGTATTCAGCGTTTGTCTTTTGGTATAGCTAACTCATTATTCATTATAAGATTCAAGATATTTCTGTATAGTTTATATCAGTTCTAATATTAAGAACATTCTCTACTGAGTATATGTCACAAGTAGACATAAAAAACTATCACTAACGATATACTTTAAGTAAATTACATAGTAATTTATTCAATAAAATGTTTGGTTTAAATGTTGTCTCTTTACCAGGAATCTACCTGTCTTAGTGTAGATCTCTACTCATTAGAAATGGTACGAAAAATTTAATGTATTAAAAGATAGTTTCATACATGCATCAATAATAATCCCACAATAAATGCACTTCCTTGGCAATATCCAACTTCACGATCGTACAACGAATAAGCCTGAATACAAGAAAAAATGACAGACATTAATATAACAACAAACATAAACTATAAAACTTTGAGAAGTATATTATATAAGATTACAGGAAAGACGATCAATCTTAAAACTCATGATTTATGTATAACTTTCCTAAGTGCCAAATCGCTTTTTTCTCGAAGCATATTTGATTATAGCTAATATTTGATGCTGATCCTGAATCTTATATTTACTTGTCTCTATATGTCTTTGTCAGAGATGACACTTTGGACATCGGTTATCTGACGATCCAGTGCAAATATTTGAAACAAGAGAGTCTCATCAGACCGCTATGTAGAGCTCATCGAGTTATCTATATGGTAAAATTTTACAAAACTATCAATAACTTTCAATAGAGTTTTACAAAGTTTAGTCAGAGACACGTTAGAAAGTTCAGGTTTTCCTTAAATTAGAAAGTAAAACTTTCATAACTAAATTTTGCCACGTGGGAAACTCGATGAGCTAGCTCGACATATCGACCTGATGAGACTCTCTTGTTTCAAATATTTACACTGGATCGTCAGATAACCGATTTCCAAAGTGTCATCTCTGGCAAAGACATATAGAGACAAATAAATATAAGATTCAGGATCAGCATCAAATATTAGCTATAATCAAATATATTTTGAGAAAAAAGTCATTTGACACTTGGGGAAGCTCTTCGTCAGACATAAGTAAAAATTCCAAACAGTTCTTTTTCAAGGTTATTCGCTCTATTTTTCTTTAATCATCAAAAAAGGGCTGAAAACTGTCAAGAACAATAAAAAAAATTATCTTTTCAAGCAGCAGAGACAGAAAAGTGAATAAAGTATGATACTTCAAATTTCATTATTTCTTGATTACAAAACAGAATTTACACTATCATATAAAAGTGTATCCATGTGATCAAAAGTTTTAATGATATGTTAGTGAAAAAGTTTGAATAAAATTTTAAATTAAAATTTTTAAAAAGTATCATACGATTGTTTAACTTAAATTGAGTAACAAAAATAAATATTTATGCATACCTTGATGACATTGAACAAACTTTCTTGTCCTAATCCATCTTTTTCTCGAAAAAAATCATGTTCTGGATATGTTCGAGATATATCTCGTCGAATAACTTTTTCACAAGGAGATGGAATTTTCATAAAATTTAAATATTTTTCTTTTACATCTGATATATCTGCTTTTACTAAATATTGCCAAACTAATGGACGAAAATGAAATGGCACACCGTTACGTATCAAATCCTAAAATAGTCAGTACAATCATTGAAAGACCACTAATCAATAAAATAACTCAAAACATTACACGTATCCATAATGGTTTTTTTCTTAATACAATTTGACCAATCGTTTAATATTTTATTCCATAGAATCCATTCAGATTCAGGATTGCCTAATAAACATGAAAAATACATTAGATATATTTAGAACTTAAATATATGCTTAACTATCTGTGATGGTAATAGTGGAAGTTACAGTTCAATCTCATCTACGTGGTTTCTATTATAGTAAAGATCATTAAATAAAAACAAAGTTACCACCCGCTTTTGATTTGAAGATTTTACTCCAGGCATAAGAATAGACATGAAATTTAAGTTTCAGCAATTCTGATTTCAATACTCTTTGATAGAAAATCGTTTACTTCCTAAAAAAAGACTTTATGATAATTTCAGTTTGTAAATCCTTGGCTGAAAACGTACACACAAAGCGAAAATGAAGTATCAATTAACCGCGTTAATTTTATGAAAATTTTCTAATTTTTCTCTTTCTAATGTGTTTTACTTAAAACTTCATAACTTTGATCAACGATCTGTTATGCTATTACTAACTAT